CAAATAAATAAATACAAACAACAAATGAAGGTTCAGTATACATGTTGAACCATAGTCAGCCACTACCCAGACAATGATAATCGGACGCGCTCAATTACGTAAACCCCCACGATCTGACTAGAGATTGAACAGAATTAGCCCCAGGGCAAGATTTCTAAACGTTTTCCTCAAAGTTTTGTCGTATGTTCTTCCTAGTAAGCTACTTTCCCATGCTCTTTAGTTTTCATTATTTTTTGAATTTTGTATTTAAATAATAAAAAGCAAAATACACTAAATATCTGTCTTACTTCCCGCCTTCTTAAAAAACACCTTCATTAAGGGGGTTAGACTTTCCAGATGTTGATCTGGTTATCAACTACGATGTTCCACGTCGGCCATCGTGGTCTGATTCTGCAAAAGCATACATACATCGAGTAGGAAGAACTGCTCGTGCTGGACGACACGGACGTGCTATTACATTTGTTACTCCTTATTCAGTTACACGTTTGAAAGCTATAGAGTCAGCTTTAAACGAAAGAATTCCTCAGTTACCTTGGCCTGGAACAGATTGCTTGAATTCACAGTTAAGACAACAAGTAGTACAAGCTGACAAAGAAGCTCGTGCAGTAAGTTAATGGTTTTCAGTATATATATATATATATATATATATATATAATTGTGCAGTTTTGGGTCTTTCATAATTTTTTTAGTAATCATTAACAGGGCCTAGACTAATTTCTGGACGCCATATGAAGACTTCTGTTCTAAAATGTAAGATCGTAACCATTTTGATTGAATAACGTCTAAACTAGCTGCTAAACCACTTGCTTCAGTCTGGGCAGTATCACAGCCCACACACAAGTCAAGCGACTTATGTGGAGCATATGTATGCGGTGCCCCTTTGTACCAATATTTATGTGTTCTTAACGACCTCAGAACATAACCCATTAATACCAACAGATCTTTCTTGCCTTGAGTTTAGTTGCGGCCTTGTCAGCTTTGATGAGTTCAAGAGCCGATATTAACCTCTCATTCAGATTGACCGTGACTAATGAAATACAGGTAGTGGCCAGTTGAACTATTCTGTACGTCATGCCAGTTGCTTGGTTTGAGAGGACTCCATTTTTTTTCGGATAAATTTTCTCTAACACATGCTTTCTATATGTAATGCTAGAAAACCAGTTATTAAATTACATTATTGAGATTAAAACAGTGGCTTTATGACCAAAGAGTTGAACTTTCGGCCACTAAGTCAGGAGTTTGAACCCCGTCCTACCTTACGTTTCACATTTTTCATGCTGTATACCATCAAAATTGGTTCCAATTTTTATTAAATTTGTTTTAGAACCTACGTATCAAAGAAAGGCAGAAACAAATCAAGAAAAAAAGAAAAGACTCATCAAACAATAACAGATTGCCAAAAACTAAACGATCACGTCAAAGTAAAGAAGTGGATTCAGAAGAGACAAACAGCGAACCAGAGTAGTTTATCATTCTTTGTACAAATTTTGTAAATACTACTAGATCATCGCACTACTGGATTTTTCATATAATTCTTTTTTGGGATGTGTTTGTTTAATCTAAGCAATACAAGCTGTAAACCAGTTATACTTCTTTCAGCAGAACTGGCAGAGGATTGAAAGTTATCAATTGAAACTTTGGTCTAGAATCAACTACTTTAACCTTGAGATTTCGACCAGATCCCCAAAGTGCTTATAGAATTAACGGATGTGCAAACCAAATATTTAGGTGTCATAAAAATGACATAAGTTTCTGGTATACAGGAATTATAACGATTCTGATACTACTGTGAGCAGTAGATAATCCTACAGAAGATCCCAACGGGTATTCAACACTCATATCATTACTCTTAACGAACATAGTAGACTATTGACATCACTTGAGGCACTCCCGATATCCTTTCATTCCAAGACCATCTATCCCCCTCCCGTTTAACTTCGTAAGCGATGGTCTATTGTGTTTCATGCACATCAAACGCAGAAATCCAAGAGCTTGGTATCACTATTTCCATACGCCATAACATCAAGTATTCTCAGTAGTTAACAGAAAAAAACAATTTCTTCCGGAGTTGTATACCATACGTATTCATTTTCTTGGACATTACCTTTTGTAGACTTTTCGCCAATTTTTTTAGAGCCCAACCTTAATAAGCTTGTGATAAGACAATGCTCAAGTGTTAACAGCTGTATGACGACCGCGCAATTCGACAGCGGCTTAGCAACACATTTTGAAGAATAAGGAGCATTAGACTACAGAACTTTTGCGGAAAACGCAAGCAGTTCCAGTCTTCGCCGAGGAACCGGCTGTTGTCGCATGTCATACTCTAATGGTCACCATAGGTTTTCCTGTCGCGCAAATTCTACCACGACACATCATATAGTTTCGCAACTACTGTGCCTGGGAGTAGTACGTAACTTTTCCAACAATACGAGCAGATAAGAGACAGCACCTAAAGCAAAAGTCGCTTAACTTCAGTCCACTTGATACTGGAATATCGAAATGTAATCTCCGGACAGACGTTAGTGGCAGTCATAACCGGCGATGGTAGCTGCATAGCTTACATCAATGACGTAATGATAAAGGTTTACGACTTCATCATTAGTGATATATGTTAGGATCGTTTTTGCAACACTGAATGAATGACAGCAATGCGTCGTGTTCAAAATAAAAGTAGTTAATCGGACGTACGGCGAAAGTATGTCTGTCTGAATTTGCGTGTATACAAACAGACGCATTAACTTACTGTTATAAACGGTGTTTCAGCATTGTTATTTGGGGAAAATATAGCGATTCGTAGTTTAAAATACCCAGAATATTATATAATTGGTGGCACCAGTTGGGATGAAATAGCAAATTTGACAGCAGGTAGATAAGACCAAGACTGCTACTAATCGGAGTAACCATGAATGCTTGACCATTTATAATCCTCACCTATATAATAATCACTGAAGAGCATACCAATAAACTCGTCCGGGAATTACACTATGTATTGCTTCGCCATAAAGACTCGAAATGTATTATGATCACCAGTCAACAGAGTGTTACACGGCACTGTTACTAGGTCTAGGGGAATTAGTGGAGTTACGGTCAATATTGATATTTTGGTTGATGCCGCCCACAAGGACGTTTGTAAGTAATGTGTATCAGAATACGGCGTCAAAGCTGCAACAACCGTCGAACAGTAAGTTCCAGTCCTTCGAAGTCACAATGTTGGCAGAACATTGGAAGATGCAAACGGATGAATAAATGTAGTGAGTCAGCAGCAACGCGGAACTTCATACGTACGTACATCAGTTCGAGTTGCCATACCACATTAGTAAACAGATACAATTGTCGATTCAAATCCCATAGTGGTAGAGGTGGTAAAAGTATAAGCAGTTATCGGAAAGATTAGGGTTTGAAGATGCTTTCCAAGGAGTATAATCCAGTGAAATAAATTTGGAAAGACGAAAAAAGGAACATGAATTCAGAAGATTAGAATTTGGGAGAACACAAAGAGTGGATGCACCTACCCAATCGCAAACGACTTTGAGCCATGTAATTCAAGGTCTCTATCCATCGGTTGCTATCATCTCGCGGATCTCAATCAGGTAGTCTACACCTACCAACATGGCTCAGTTCACTTGTCAGTGACTTCATGGATTTGTGCCATGTTTTGGTCTGACTGCCCCTAGCTTTCTTCCAACCTACTCCTACACCACAAAACATCGCTCGTCGGGGCAGTCGGTGGTTGGGCATACGTAACACGTGTCCCAGTCATCTCAACTGTTGAAGTTTCACTACTTCATCAATTGATTTGTCATCCTTACCTAGTATCCGTTTCCTAACAACTGCATTAATTACTCGATGGTCCCAGGATATACGAGCAATACTTCGAAGACATTTATGATTAAGGGTTATGTATATGCATATGTAACCTCTCGCAATAAAGATCCACACCCGTCTATTGCCTTGTTTTAACGTCTTATCAGTTTGAAACAGACCGATTAATTTTCTAATTGTACCCATAAAATTTTGTGTTGAGTTTTGTCGGAGACAGTAGATAAAAACTTTTCATACTCTTCTTAATACAAAACACCATAATGGTAGGAAATGCAAGAATCTAGCTGAAATTTGATGCTTTCAAAAATACACATCAGAAGTCTTTGTGTACTGAGGACAATGACATTAATCGAATAGTCAATCTGTACAAGTAAGATAAAGTATTTTTTAACGTTAACTTAACAAAAGACATAACCAAGCAAGTACTATCAAAACTGTACACAATATAATAAACTAAACTTGAACGTACACAAACTGTCGAAACCAAAGGCAATGAGTAATAAGGTTTGTTCTTATATATTTAAGTTATTAAGCTTTTCACTACTTATTTTTCAAAAGTAATAGAATAATTACCATTGTTGTTATGCCCTATGAAAATGACTGTAATCAAGAAAATGTATAAACGGTAACCAAAACGAGTTGAATAAAAACATGCCAGTGAATAAATATACACATATAATAATAAGTACAAAGAAATTATAAGAGGAAATAATAATAAACAATTGTACAAAATGTCAGGAAGAAAACAAAAAAAAAACACAACATGAATTCACAAAAATAAGCAAATCAGTGTTTCAAGTAAATTAAATAGGACAACATATGAATTTGTATATATATGTACATTTTTCAGCAGATTTTATGCTTGAACAAATGATGAAAAAATAATAATAATTTATCATTAACAGTTGAAAAACAAAATTTCAGAAACACTAAAATATTTCATATACTGCAGAGTTTTTAGTGCTTCTGAATAACAACAACAAATATGAAACGATAGAAAGTAGACAATCTTAGAAATGCAAATAAGGGGGGGGGCAATGCGATGGATTTTGTATAAATTTCCCAAATAATGATAATAGTAATTGAAAACCATACTTGCACACTAATTCCAAAGGATGAAGAAGGGAATGTGCAGTTGATTTTGAAGGAGAAAACATGTATATGAGCAACAAACACGTCTATAATTGATCGTCTGCTTTTAATCGCTTGACTGGTGTAGTAAAAGCTCTGGAAATAATTATATATAGAAAAAACGTAGATTGTACAAAACTGTTCATGAACGAGACTCGATGATTCAAATGATGAATACAACCATGTGTAAAACAATACCTAATTTATTGTTAAGCCAAGATCAGTTGGTCGTCATTATCGGATAGCATCACAGTGGGACTGGACTAAGTCCTTGTATATCTCATTAACATAATGTGATGAGTGGCAAAGAAACTGAAATTGATGTGGTAGCGATGCTGAAGACTGAACATTAAGAATATAGTTCGAAAAGATGGAAGAGTATGAAAGAAAATTAGGACCCATTATCTGAGAGTAAGGGAAAGTGTGTATGCATCTGCGCCATTAAGTCATTTTGAGCAATGTCACCTAACGTATCCAACTATTGGTTATAATAATCACGCTGACCTTAAGTCAGCAACTACCGACATGATTCAGATCAACACTCAATGACTACGCTAACCCCACGTTTTGCTTTGGACACCCCTAGCGTTCAGTCAGACAACACTAAGCTTCAAGTTAATACTGTTTAAGCATCTGTAGTTGATCAAGATTCTCGACCTCGTCGACTGATTTGTGATCCTTTATTGATAGCTAGTTCCAAACATTGTTCAATCGATGATGTGCCTATGAATTAATTGTTATTGCTACTTTTGCATCAAACTGTAAGAAGATTAGTCGCCTTTCTGTTTACATAAGTATCTAGCTTGTTAGTAACTAAATCTCAGCCGAATAAAATGCAGATATCAATGCCCTTACGCACACCACTCCGAATCCTAAAAAATTAACTACAGATCATTTAAAAGTAATTCCAATTATCGCTAATTTATAATGTTTTCCATGACTGTTAAAGCTTAGCTATATGTTTCATTGATAATATGAACCTGTTGGACACTCTTCCCATTTACTTAGCCTATCAAGAGCCTTACCGATTGCGTCAAATGTTTCCTTCTATTCGACAAATATATTTGCAGTGATACTTGGTAAGTAAACTCGTAATACAAAATCTACCCGAATTCATCTCACCACCAGTGGATCATATACCTATTACCACGCGAGTTCAACTAGCAACTAACCAATAGTTATAAGCTATTATGTTCAACCTCAATGGGCTTACCCTTCTTGTGATGTTCCTAAACTCAGAGCACGCTTGGTAACCGGCTGTGAGGCATTTGTTGCTTGGAAATTGATGGGTTGAGGACTTATTCCAGCAACAGAGGAAGGTGTATTAGATACATCTTGAAGCCAACGAACTTGTGTCGCCGGTCCATATCCTTTTTCATTGCGAGCAGCAATCCGAAAGATCACAGCAGGTTTTGAACTAAGATCTAAATGAGCAGTAGCCAATGTTGCAGAAGTAACAGTTGCTGAGGGTGATTGACCACAATATACACGAACGAATGCCATACCAGATGGTGTAGAACCGACCTATAGATAAACAGTGAAAGAATTAGTAGGGAGATAAAAGAAGCACAGTCAATCACACTGTGGATACCATAGGGAAACCAAGCTAACACTACAGATCACGTTAGAGAACTAATACTCCTACATATGTTATGTAAATAGTTACAGCTGTAAAACGTTTTATGTGTCTACACAAGTCAGTAAATATTCTGAAGCTTTAAAGCACATTACAATAAGTTTGTTGGTATGAAATTTCTTAAGCATTCAACTACGAATACAACTTGAGTCAATTACCATAATAGCATCAAAAAATAGCGACGGTAATTTAAACAAAACTTTAAGTTAATCCTCCAGTTCACTTTATCTTAGCTCATATAGTTTTTTAAATTTTCCTAATTTTGTTACATATGATTAGTGTGTATACACTTCACAGTATAGAGATTTGTATCAATCTGAAATTTAAAATTCGCCAATCAAACAATGTTCATATGATGAACATGATAGTGATCTAACTTAATTTGTTATTTTAACAACTATCATGAATATCCTACTTGCTGGATGTATGCTAAGCATATTGAACGGACACACACACACACACACCTAGTCTCATTTACCTGCGTGTTTGCGGACTTTACTAATTATTAACAAAATACCATCCCTACAACTGCTCTTCTGGCTTTTAAGTATTCTCGAGTAAATTCATTATAATAACTAAGAAAACAGGCTTACTTAAATACTTAGTTAACGGGATATCACCTATTAGATTCAAATAGAGATGAATTAACCTCTACAAATGTCATAGAACGAAGACTGTAAAACCAGCACGAACGGATGAGTGAAATTTTAGATGAAACGACTTAATAATGTGACCAGCATACCAACATCTAATTAAAATTATTTGTCTATCTAATTGAGGTTCATAAAATGCTCCGAATTATATATTCAGTGTTAGCGGGATATAAATTGGATTAAATCATGTTCCGTGCAGCATTGTATTGGGGCAACCTTGTTATTAAGAGTATGATTACGCTCCTGTTCATCTGTGTTCTGATTTGGGAACATGTCGAGTAAGATACTGTTTAAGAATACTAAGCAACAAGAGTAACTGGATCGTAATAAGAAAAATCATAATACACAGACTTATTCGAATTTTAGAATACTTCTCATCTGTGAAAATAGTTACAAAACTACATGAACTATTGTTCTATATCAAATTCTTATTATATTATAAAGTTTAGGTAACGCATTAACAGACTCACATTGATCATTCTGATTTCAATTTAAAAAAATCAAATCACTTGATCATTTTAAAGGAAATAAATAAGCAAAATATGAGTTATTCTTTAATGAGAATAGATTTCATGAGTATTTTTATTAAGTAGATATTCTACGTTAGTCCTAACTGTAAGTAAAATTATTTATTTATTTGAACACATAAATATTGATACAAGAGAGCGCCAATATATATGCGCCACACGGAACGGAAAGGTACAAACATAAGAAATATTTCAGTTAAGGAAGTTCCAACCCCCTTTTATGAAGAAAGCAAAAGAAGGTTATATCAGGATCGCCACTGGCTTCTATTCTGAACCATATCTGATAACGTCTCTAGACACTGTGTTGCACCATCTCTAGGACCCCAACCAGGGAGTCATGAAGAACCAACAGAGGCCAGTCCTGTGCAGCTTTCTTTCATACCACGACATCAGGTCATAACACTGACCACCTCTCCGCTTTTTCCGACCAGTCCCAGCGTCGGCAAATCGTGCACAACAAGAAATTCTCTGGGGCAACATTTGAAGAACATGTCCAAGCCACCGAAGTCGATGTTTCAAGATGGTGACACCAATTGAATTATCATCCCTGTGCCCGAACACACGATGCTGAACCTCTTCATTACTAACATGATGTTGCCACTGGGTGTCAGCAATCCTTCGGAGACAACGATGATCGAATACAGAGAGTCGTCTAACGTCCTCAACTCGGAGAGGCCAGGTTTCACAAGCATAGAGCAAGAATGCTCTAACCGACACGTTGTAGATCCGACCTTTTACAGCCAGACTGACCTCACGAAGGTGGCAAAGATGGCTCAGATTTTATTTATTTATTTTAACACATAGATATTGGTACAAGGAGGCACCGAATACATATGGGCCACACAGATTTCATTTGATATGTGTGAGGGTAAAGATATGATCAATGCATCCTCGACCAAAACGAAACCTAGCCTGCTACTCGCGAGTCAATCTTTCTCGGGTTTCGAACAACCTACGAAGTATGACGGAAGACAATAGCTTGGACGCAAATTAAAATAGAGAATTCCCATAAATAAATATCAATCAACTATAAATCTGTTACTGAATTTTTGTCTAAGAATCTTCTACTTATGTCTACACTGAGGTTTAGTATATGTAGTGTAACATACTTAGTTTGTTGGTATTCTGACAATGACCTTTAGTATTTACGTAGGCTATCGATCGTGCGAGCATTATAATATGAAAATTAATGGATTCAGTGTTACTGATGTAGAAAAAAACAGCGATTTACAGGTAAATTTGCACAAAATATTCAGTACGTTCTTCACCAACAAAATAACAACTGACCTTGTTCTCTGTAGAATCTTGTCCTGCAGTCTGAGACTTGACAGCTAAATAAACAGAATACTCTGTAATCTTTCCCGCCGTGTTCTGAGGCGCTTCCCACGTTAAATGTGCACCACTGTCCGATTTAGTTATTTTTATAGCACTGGGAGCCCCTGGGTAACCTGGTAAACAGGTTTTGAATGCGCTTATCTCCGACCAAGGACCTCGACCACAAGCATTGAGGCCTGCAACACGGAATTTGTAGGCTGTTCCAGGAGCGAGTTGGAATTTAGGACCCTGTGTAGTTAGTCCATTCGGTCCAATCCCATTGGGACCCTGTAATGCAGTGATAGCCTGTTTTTTTTTATTTAAACAATAAAAAGTATTACAATAAAATATGGATTGATCTAAAAGAAATCATGAAATGTGTTATTAAAATGGTTTCTGAGACAGACAAATGCAGTCAAATACCATTTGTTAAAGTAACGGACCAGTTTCTATGAATGAATGCTCGTTTCTTATTTTATGTGAATTTGCTCAACAATCAAAAAGCAGGTTAAAGTTGTAATGATAGTACTATGTTCAATGGACAGTGATTAGTTAACATCTCTAATATGAATCAATACTGATTATGTAAAATGCAAGAGAGAACTGTTTTATCAATCTGGCAGACTAAAACATATCTTTAAGGGTAAGTAACAAACAACAATTTTTTATTACTATCACGAACAGCAATCATCAAAAGCTAATATACGGTTCCAAGTACAGAATATTTATTCAACTAATATCGAAAGTATTATTAATAAGAACATGATAATGTGACTCGTTTACCAAGTACAGATTTACTTGGTCAGCTTTCAGTCACATTATTTAGCGTGATGGCTTGTGAATAAAACCTGGCTGTCTAAACCAAGGCAGGTGGGACAGGATTCGAAACTGGAAACTAGCTGAATACAACGTGGTTTAAAAACTAGTGAGACATCGCTTCTCATAGAGTTATTATCACTAAAACACTGTCTAGTGGACATCACTGATCCGTAGTTTATCAACATAATAAACAGACTGTGATTCATGGGAAAAAAAGAATAATGGGTCTATACTCCACAATGTTCTCATAAGCTTAGGTCTAAATACACAAGTGACGTGAAGAGGTAAACTTTTCCTTATCCTTTACTGTCATTCAATCACCTAGATCCTTTACTTACTTATATTTTATCACTTTTCAAAAAATAATTATTGTCAAAGTTGCAAGATGATATTTTTCCAAAGTATAAGTCATGACTATAAACGTACTTCCATATGTACACCAGCATCATTTGTACAGGCTGAATACATTGTTACAGTATAATTTGTCGACTTAATAACGCCAACGTCATGCCAAGAATTGTCGCCTCGACTAATCAATGTACCAGGTGTTACAGTAGTCGAAGAACTTATTAAAGAACAATTGGTAGATGTTGTTACGATTGAATGGGAATTCGCGACCAAACCTGTCACAGAACGAGAAATTTGTCCCCCTCCTAAAGTGGAAGATAATGGTGACAGGCGAGAATAAGGGAGAGAAACAGCAACTGATCGACCAGAATTTGAATTACAAATAACATGTGAATCAGAATTGGAATAAACTGTAGAATGTGAGATGACTGAATCATTTTCTGTCAGAAAAATAGATAAATACGACAAAAATGAATTTCTTGGAAAACATTGATATTACAAACTTAAAAGACCAATTGTTATGGATGAAGGTCTTCTGTGATTTAATTAGACGAAAATATTCGATTGTTAAAATCGATGAATACAATGCAAATCAACGGAAAAACGCAATGACATAATGTGTAGAGAATATGAACGCAAAATGAACATAAAATGGCATACGTGACTGGAGGAAATTAGCTCATAGGTTATTCATGCTCCCATCAATTAGGACCTTGTTGTTGGGCTTAGTATTCGGGCACTGTAAGTCACCCATGTAAGTACTGGGTGAAGACGCTGATAGAATACAGTCTCTTGGAATGCGCGTCTATCCTTCTAGATGGCAGTTGTTGCTTCACGACTGACCTGTATCAACTCCTGAACTAAGGACAGAGGGTGAAGTAGTCAAACGCGTTAACACTTTCACCTAACTTGGAAGTCTGGTCAGTCGTAATCGGTTGATATCTGATGAAATCTCAGCACGGATTTAAAAACCTCGTTTGGCCTTTGCCAACTTACGTCACCTATGATGAAGGCGAGATATCCGTCTATTAATTAAAGAACGAATACACTGCAGCAGTTCGTTCTCTTCTACCTTACGACTGCGGAACGTGGTCATTAAGAGTAAAGGATACTCATGATTTATGAATATTTGATCACAGATGTCTTGAAAATAATTCTCGCATCTCCTGGGATCAGCGGGTAAGTAATAGTGAGGTTAGACAAAGGGTATTAGGGAATGATGGTAAATCAGTTGATCAAGTTGTAAATCTTCACCGACTGAGATGGTTGGGCCACGTGTTACGTGTGCTTTAACACTGATTACCACAACGCGCAATGCTGACTAGTGTTGAAGACGGATGGAAGACAGTTAAGTTCGACCAAATCGAAACGTTAAATCAGCCCACAGAATCACTAACTTCTGGTATGAGCCATTTTGGTAGATGCAGGCTACTCGGTTAAGCTCCATGTGACTGCTGCCCACACCGTGGAAGAGTTCTTCTGGAGGAATCTGAAAAAGAGGATCCGACTAGGGGTGGGTCTCAGTGACCCCGTATTCTAAGTCAAAAAGTGAATCTCTCGGTAGAAGTTCAACCCACGGAAATTTAGATGAGGAAAGTGTCATCTCTAAAAGTACGTCAATGACAAAGTTAAACAAGAATGGAGAGAGTGGGTAGCCCTGACGAACACCACTTGAGATAATCAATTCTGATGACAGTTCGCCATAAGCTCTCACTCGACTAGTTGTGTCCGAGTAGAAAGCCTTTACAAAGTTAATGTACTTCTTTGGTACTCCTTTCAATGACAAACACTGCCACAGAACCTCACGATCAACAGAGTCGAATGCTGCTTTAAGGTCAAGAAATACTACTATTTTGGGGCGTCTGAATGTGTGTCTATGTTCTAGGACCTGATGTAGTGTGAACATCTGGTCTATACAACCACGTCCAGGTTGAAAACCAGCCTGGTTTTCTCTAGTCTGCTCTTCACGAGCTTTAATTAGGCGTCGAAGTATTATTGAAGCTGATATTTTAGACACTATAGTAGTCAAACTGATTCCTCTATGATTGTCACAAGAGGACTTTTGTCCTTTCTTATAGACTGGCACAATCAGTGATTGAGACCAGTCAGATGGGATTACGTCCAATTCCCAAATTCTACCTAAGACCTCGGTTAATCTCACTGCTAATACTGGATCACCATCCTTAAAAATCTCAGGAGTAAACCTGTCAGGGTCTGCTGCTCTCCCTCGCTTCAGATTTCCTATAGCTTTTTCAACTTCGTAAAGAGTCGGAGGACCTAAATTAACTTGCCATTCAGGTTGACTGGAGATCGTGGGAAACCGAAGTGTGGCTGAAGGCCAGTTGAACTGATCCCTAAAGTATTCTGCCCATCGATCCAATCTCCTGGATTGAGAATGTATAATATGTCCATCTTTCTCTGAGATTGTCTCGCTAACAGTCGGATACCTAATACCGGTTTCCTTAACAAGTCTGAACAATTGTCTGCTATTACCTATTGCCGCTGCCTTTTCCATCTCTCTTGCTTTCGCTACCCACTACTGTTCACAATCATTGCGTAGGCTTCTTGTCAGCTTGCGCTTAAGCTGACTCCGCTCTTCGTTATGTTCAAAGCCAGATGGAATGAGTTTTCGAGCATCTATCAGTGCGGTAGGTGCTGCTGAGATCCAGTGTTGCTCCCTAACCTTACGGTTTACCGTACTGGCAGATATCACTGCTGTTTCCACAGCTTTTCGGATATCATTCCATGCTGCATCGGGGTGGGCATCACCTACATGGCTGCCTAACTGTTTTCCAAGTTGTTCCTGAAATATACTCTTAGCTTGACAATCATTAAGTAGGGCCCTATTGATTGATTAATTCAGTAAGTGTCTTCCTTCAGTGACAACTGCTTAGTTTGGTGAAATTCTGAAATTTTCAATCATTGAATAACCGATACACAATTGCTTCTGTATGAACTGGGACGGTCAGAAATTTTGGGTAACCAGATAATGATAGAATCTTAGGTGTTAACTATCAATCAAATTAACTAATACGCTTCCCAGTATCCTTAAAGAATTCTGTTGTTAACGTGTAGACATATGAGTTCACCGGGCATACATGTTCTGACACTAGAGTATAGAGGAAATCCCACTTAGTTTTCAGGAGAAGTACCTTTATATCGATCCTACCAAAAGATGTTTTAGTCCCAACAGTAGAATAAAAACGAGCAAGTATGTGTTGTGACAAGCCCTCACATGGAATCCTCAAGGCCAATGGAGGAGAAGAGGAAAACCAAAGAACACATTACGCCGGGAAATGGAGATAGACATGAGAAGAATGAACAAAAATTGGATGGAATTAGAAAAGAAGGCCCAGGACAGAATGGATTGGAGAATGCTGGTCGGCGACCTATGCTTCATTGGGAGTAACAGGTGTAAGTATGTGTTGTGTTTATTCAGAGTTTATGGTCAACTCTATCTGAGAAGAATGGGATCCAAATCATTGTCAATGTGATACCACAGAGTTTTTACTTTATGCATCGACGTCCTGTCTCAGTGAGTTTGTGAGTAGAGAACTGAGAAAGTTCACTAACACCTTAAGACTAAGATTTGAAATTCAACTTGTTTCTTGGATTGACAATTTCTTATTGCTTATAAATCAACCTTTGCAAAACACGTTTTATAATTTATAAGGAATATTAGGGTTGATGGAGGGAAGTTGGATTATCCCCGTGGCAATGGAAACCATTTTGTCCGTACACTGATTTGTCAAGAGTGTTAAAACTTAAATAACATGAATCGGAATGAAGTGAAATAGAGTAGCAAATAAAATTGTAAAACGTAACAATATGTATTTAGCCAAAAAAATCTTAGGATTTCAAGTAATACATTGAAAATTATGGACTTACCGTGATCATCACCACTTCCACTTCGGCGAGCAGCAACTAACGCTAATGTTTCCAAAGGATCAGTAAGAGAACTACCATTTCCTTCCTTCCCATCTACATATAAAATTGGGATAAAAGTATTGATAAATTTTCACACTGAACGCATTATTCGGTTTCCTAAGCTCTTCTATTATCCCCCAGGCTAAATCTACATGGCAACATAGACACGAGAGTAAAGGTGCAAAATATAGGAAGAACACTTAACCGTAAGCTTAGTTTATGTACAGAAAATCTAGGATACATATAGCATTTAGACGGCCTTGGGCTTCTGGAACACTGCTAAACATAGCAGCAGGATAGGTAACCATCCAATCGGAAATGTGACATTCCAGATGTTTCTGGCAAAACTACTATTGGATGATGACTGGATAAGATGTTTCTCAGCATTTTGAAGCCCCTTTTTGTTTTTTTTTTCCAGGAACTTTCCGGGTCTCCTAAACACCTTCCCCCTTTCAAGAAATAAGATTTCTTCGGGTCTACTTGCAACTTGATAACTAGTTTCCTGTGGTATTCCGACTTTCTTGGTATTCAGCGACGATGACGGGTTTACTGAGCAGCAGTTCGTTCTGTCCTACTTTATTGCAGTGAAACGTGGCCGGTAACAGTAGAGGATATTCGTAGGTTTCTAGTATTCGATCAGGTGTCTTCGAAGCATTGCTCGTATATCCTGGGACCATCGAGTAATTAATGCAGTTGTTAGGAAACGGATACTAGGTAAGGATGACAAATCAATTGATGAAGTAGTGAAACTTCAACAGTTGAGATGACTGGGACACGTGTTACGTATGCCCAACCACCGACTGCCCCGACGAGCGATGTTTTGTGGTGTAGGAGTAGGTTGGAAGAAAGCTAGGGGCAGTCAGACCAAAACATCGCACAAATCCATGAAGTCACTGACAAGTGAACTGAGCCATGTTGGTAGGTGTAGACTACCTGATTGAGATCCGCGAGATGATAGCAACCGATGGATAGAGACCTTGAATGACGTGGCCCCAAATCGATTGCGATTAGGCAGGTGCATCCACTCTTTGTGTTCTCCCAAATTCTAATCTTTTGAATTCCTCCAATACTCCGTGTACTGTTGTTTCCATCTCAATTGCTGCCACCAAAGTATACTCTTCTTGTTTCGCTTGTGAACCAATCAGTCTAGATAAAGAGTCAACTTGTCTAAAATCAATAGTGGGCTGGTAATTGATCTTGAAGTCACAACCCGAGTGTAGCTTCCCATCGTTGCAGTCTGTTTGCTGTGTATACTGGGACGCGTTCGACTACTTCACTCCCTATCCTTAGTTCAGGTGTTCATACAGGTTATTCCTGAATCAACAACTTGTATTTAGAAGGGGAGAAACACATCCCAAACAATTTGACATTGTTGCTCAGTGCTATCAATAGACTCTGCATTTTATCAGCGTCTTCACCAAACAGGAATTTATCATCTGTGTATGCTAAGTCCAAAAGTAGACCTCCTGGTATGAGATCAATGCTCGAGAATTCAGTCGATGAGAGCATTATTTCCATCACCATGTCTATGATGAAGTTGAACAAAAATGGTGATAATGGACAGTCTTGACGGACACCACTTGAGGTTACAAAAACAAATGGCAGTTCACCATAAGCTCTCACTCGACTAGTAGTGTTCGAGTAAAGAGCCTTCACAAGGTTTATGTACTTCTGAGGTACGCCTTTCAATGACAGACACTGCCACAGAACCTCTCGGTCTACAGAGTCAAATACTGCTTTCAAGTCAAGAATGACCACCATTGTCGGACGCTGATAAGCATGCCTGTGTTCTAGAACCTGACGAATAGTGAATTTGTGATCGATGCAGCCACGACCAGGTCTGAAGCCAGCCTGGTTTTCTTGTGTTTGCAGTTCAATAATAAATCAATCCTTGAACGAAATCTATCACATCGTTGATTTGGTTATCAATACAATACAATAGCTTATCATTAACATAAAATTGGTAGATGAAACAGACCAAACACAAGTATTCAAAAAAGAAACCACTAAACTAACCTTTAGCATGTACTGGATCTTCATAAGATCCTGAATTTCCTCTGAAATCTTTTCCATGATCAGTATTAGAAGAGACATTTTCGGATAATACATTAGGCTTGATATCAATCAAATTTCTGACTGCCTGATCAGTTTCTTTCGAAACGCTCGCTGAATTTTGGTCTGAATACGCTGATGTATTGTCATCACCAATGTCTGCAAGTAGTTCAGCAGCAGCTTCCACGGCTAATGACGTATGTAAATCGGAATTTGCATCCTTATTAAAGAATAGTAAGAAAAAAGAGTATTCACTTAACATTATGTGAAGCTATAAATAATGGCGAAACATGAGAAAAATTCAAGTAAATTAACAGATTGTATTATATAACACTAATAATTTCACCTCAAGTGATAATTCAGATAATTTCTAGGTCGCCTTTCAAATACACTGGAATGAAGCAATACAGGCGAATACGGAGTGTAGAAAATATTCACTTTTCTGTGAAGTCTAACTGCAAACTTGCTGCTCAAGACATTAGTTTATAACGCCTTTACAACATTTCCAAAGATAGATGACATATCAGTGTTTATTGCGTTAATGTAGCTGATGAAATCTCGGTGCATAAACAAAAGTTTAGTTTAACTTTGATCAATATATATAGGTAGTGAAATATCCGACTGTGTTAGCAGGATATAGATTGGATTAAAGCATGTTCCGTGCAGGATTGTATTGTGGCACGTTTATTGGCTATCTCACAACCAGTTAGCGCTACGAAGACCTGGAGACAATTCCAGAATCTTCTTATGTAAAAATTACAAATATATCAACATTTTTCTTATTGTGATTCCTACTTTCATCCAACCTTGTTATTTGGAGTATGATTACGCTCCTGTTCATCCGTGTTCTGATTTGGGAACGTGTCGAGTGAGATACTGTTTAAGAATACTAAGCAACAAGAGTAGCTGGGTCGTAATAAGAGAAAACTTAACAAACTGTTTATCACAAAACGAGACCTTGATTAACTTAGTGTAATGCAACTCAGCATCCACACTATCCAGTTGGTTAAGTCTGAGTAAGGGAAAATAAACCCCATTGTGACGATCTCCTGCAATTCTAAGATAGAGATACAGTAATTAAAGGTGAAAAATATCGGTAGGTTATCTGTGTTCAACCATAGATACTTTTACAGCATGTGGTGAAACCACTGAATAAGTTATGTTTAAGTTATATATCAAGTCTTAAACAAATAAGCTAGTTGTTAATGTAAAGTTGTAGTGGATGAGTTATTTGATATGAATGTGAGATGGCAACGAAATAAGATGCTGATGCTTGAAAAGGTGAGATTAAATAAAACTTAAGGTTGCTACAACCAGATGCAGCACCAGTTCGTTAATACAAACATCTAAACAAACTAAGCGACATGAATTCAAAAGCACAGTTCTCTAAAATAAATCCCAATTTTCTTAAATCTGTGGATTACAATTATTATTCAAGAAAAACTTTCCAGTTTATTTATAAATCCTTCGTATGCGACCAAACTCGAAACATGTATACAGACCGGTTTCAATAATATACATGGACTAAACTTTTTGGGTTGAAGCGCTAATCCTTGGTAATTAAAACGAAACAATCAAGAAAAGGTATTTACAATTCAACTAACACACACAAGTGTATGAACTAGTTTGGTGGTTACAGATGGTGCTCCGATGCATGAACCATGTAAGATTTGGTTAGTTTCAGGCCTGATGCCAAATATCTGACCACCTAGGTGGTTTGGAATAGATCAGTCAGAAAACATCAAATCCCAGTTCTATATTACTTATCAAGTCGTTCAGTTGGACTGACTTGAAATTATCTAGTAAGTAACAGATGACCAAATAAACAATGGAAACGATGTATCCGTTTATTTTGCTATGAATTTAAGCTTGTCCTTGTTAGCGGGACATAGACCGGATGAAAGCATGCTCAATTCACGATTGCTTTGGTGCACGCTGATTGGCTAATTCTTATCCAATCAGCACTAGCCGATAGTTGGAGAATACTCTAGAATCTTCTCATGTAAAAACTATAAATATACTGACGTTTTTCCCTATTGTGCTTGCATCTTGCTCCCATCTAACCTTGTTATTTGGAGTATAATCTCTTTCCTGTTCAACCGTGTTCTGATTTGGGGTCTTGTTGAGTGAATCGGTGTCCGAGAATACTAAGCAATAGGAATAGCTGCGTCATAACCGTAAGAAAGAGATTATAACAGTCCTCTGCTAACATAATGCAGTTATAAGGTTTTAAACCTTTAATATGAACAGTTAACTGTCAACGATAGTTAAAAATTCATTTATGCCAGTGATCAAACGAGACATAACTATAATCAAGAAATACCATTTTGACTTATATGTATCAACAACTGTAGTAGTACTCTTAGGTAAAAAGCACACTTACTGTTGTATATGCTGGCGAATGTTGACTGCCAGATTGTAGAATATCCACATTTCCTTTCATATGTAACTTTTCTTTGCCTAAATTAGACTCCAAAAGGATAGCTGATGAAGCATCGGTTTTAGCACTACCACCGTCCTCATCAACATCATCATCGTCATCATCAATAGCACCATCCAATTGTGGAATAGTTTGGAGAATCGATGACGTAGTATTACTTGGATCAGTTGCATTACCATGTGTTGAATCATATTGATCCCGTCGGACTAAGGTTACCTGTGTTTGATTTCCCTGTCGTATTATTTGGCTGGTAGCACCTCCAGAAGATAAGTACAAATTTGATGATGCAGGCACGGCAGTTGATGAGGATACTGAAAATAAAGTCCAAGTTTTTAAGTTCCACGTTAACAATGCTTTGCATCACAAAACAACATTAGCTGGAATAACTGGTACATATCAAAGTAGAAAGTGAGTGTTTCACCCTAGTCAGCAAATCCACTTGATGCCAAACACTCCATTCAAACTACGATAACGAGCTGAAAATCGTCAATTTGTGAACATAGTAATTTCTAAAGCTTTCGACCTGAACTTTATAACCAGAATTGAGACCTGAAATTTACTATGATGAGTACATAACCAATCGTGTAAATAAGGATGAATTACTGAGACTAGATAATTTTATACACAATTATTCCGAATGTGCGCAGTAAAGGATAATGGGTACTCATAATGCCTATGATTAAACTAACATCATAGTGTGACAAAATACTGCATTCTAGGGAGACAAGAAGTAAAATGTCCTCCTTTGTGAATGTATGAAACTAACACAGATTGGTTATATTCCTTTGTAATATAAAAAAAAGAAATAAAGAACTACGAAAACCTTGAAAATTCACAACAGTCTTACTTGTTGGACTCATGATAACTATTTGCTGTCCAGCTGGTCTGTGTACAGAACCTGAAACTTGAACGGTTGTCTGGCCCGGACGGCATACACCACCACCAGCAATTAAAATAGGCTTACCAGACGCAGACATCTGAAGCATCGTTGCTGGAATAGCTTTGATTACTTTCGGAACTATAATAACGAAAAGTAAACAAAGTACAACTTGAAACTTTATCATCAAAAAGGAAACAAATAAACAAAAACGAAAATGTGTCTCAAAGGTGGTAAAATTAGAATAAGATTTAATAATTTTATGGAAATAAAGAGTATTTAGGCTACTGTAGAAACAAGTGAACTAAATTCGTTTTCATTAAACATACTCATAATGTGCAACAGATACACTTCAATTGGACATTAGGTATTCGTCCTCTCATTTTCGTAAACAAAATCCCCGCCACGAGAAGGCAGTGAGTAGGACTTCCCTGGCAGAGGCTGTATACGCATGGCCGTGTGAAAGTATTTCGAGAGGGCGGGCCCACCACACTCTCCGCCATACCAGAGCATTTAGGGGCGGACAGTTTCTTTAAACTTTCAAAATAAACTAAACGAAAAACTACTGTCTTACGAATTATGTAAGTTCACACGATAGGTCGGAAGTTGGACAGGAGTTTAGAAAAATCAAAGCTTAAACATATAAATATAAGTAAACCAAGTTTTGAAAAATTACTGATCACCTGAAACGCCAGTTCCAACTGATGCTTGTTGTACAGTGATAGTTTTGGAAGCAGTTGAAGATGAAGTTGTGGTCGAAACTAGTTTAATAGGTTTGATTAAACCTGTTGACTTGTTTACAATGTGTACTACTTGATTTGGATTCGAATTAGCTACACCGGAGTTATTCGCGACAGAAACTGCAGAAACCACCTGCTTGCCACTAACAGTAATAAGCTATGTAGAGAAAAATACGTTCATGTTAATAAGTTAGTCAAAAAACAAGTCGATCTCAGACAGAATATTCTACTCGGGTATCATGTAGAACATAACATACAATAAATTATCCTACATCCTACGACCAACAGAAAAATCAAGATAAACACAACGTGAAAAATGACACTAATCCATACCTAATTCACCATACAAACTGAAATGGGTGAAATCGTGTTAAAATGCTATATAAAAGGTATTTCAAAACACTATTAATTTCCCTAACAAATGGTATGTAGGTTCTCGCGGATACATGTTTTAAGCTGAAATAACTCAGCCAAACTTGGAAAAAAACATAGTACAAATGCGTGCCAACTGTTGGGATGCTAGATCCCCTAAAATCACTTGGTAAGCGTCTTATTTTTGTGGGCATACCGAAATAACTTCGAATATTAATATTTTGTGACAGGATCAATCAACGTAAGACTAAAAATTGCATTGACAAGAACTTGTCCTGCAGCTAAACCGATTGTCTTGTTCAAAACAATGTTTTTTAGAACAATCAAAGATCGATAGCTATCACTTTTATGTTACCACCAACTGTATATACATATTCACATGTATCAGCCAAGTCAGTAGCATTGGTAGAACAGGAAGGAGAGCGCATATCCGATGCAAAGAACATATCCCAAAAAGGTGAAGTGGATCAAAAGCATTCAGAAGTGTCATCTCTAGACATCTTGATACAGAACATCAAGAGGATACACTGAAGTCTTTCAAAATGATTAACAAACAATCAAACTCCAGTTTTCTAAAAATTTTCAGCGCTATAGATACCGAACGCCTGAAACCAGATCTGCTCCCCAAATGCCCTGGTACGGCCGAGAGTAGGGAGAGTCCGCTCTCCCTCTCGAAATGCTCTCATATAACCACGCGTGTATACCCTCTGCCAGGGAAGTTCTACTCACTGCTTTCTCGTGGCGGGGGTGTTGTTTAGGAAACTGAGAGGACGAAAAGCGAACGTCCGGCGCTTTAACCGGGTTGGTGGACACGGAGAGTCCACCTACTGGAGTTGGAAAACCCTGATTCCAAACTAATGATGCACACGGGCTCCAGCATCCTGAAGGAAAAAATGGCGTATGAACCAATCGTTGGACACCTGCTACCATGGGACTGCAACTCCTTGAGTTTCCTCACTGCCTTGTGGACCAGACCTTCAGGTCAAAGGTTCTGGGTGTGGCCCCCTAAGAAAACCACCTGCTTCGATCTGGGCACCTGGGCAGTATCACAGCCCTCACACAAATCTAAGATGACGATTACTTCACGAAATACTATGCTCGCTTCATTTTAGAATTCAGATAATTCACATTCACTTGATAACACTCACCGTTTCTATTATTACTATGTTTTATATACTACGTCACTTATCTACCTCTATTCCAACTTTATGTATCCCCATTCTTCAACTTATACAGCAGCTCACACATGGTGGGAATTCTGTTTCATATAAACGATCTCAAGTCACTGTTGAATGCTTCCACCGGATACAAATACTGAAACAGTCTTTCTGAAACCACGTACACCATTCAAACTGGCTGCCTTCAACGTTCGCATACTAATGCAGATCGAACAACAGATAGGGCTGGTTGTCTTTAGAAAGTCTTAATATCGAGGTCCGCTATATTCCAGACTAGAACAGTACTACAAATTCGCTCTCCACCAGTCGCTTCAAAAGGCTTATTTTACATGCGCTTATCCGGGGACCCTGTGGCGTTGGTGTCGCACTAAGCGCTAGAGCTGAGGCAGCACTAATCGATTGGATCCTCATTAACAGTCGGTTATGTGCTGTTAGATTAGAAAGTTACATCGAATTGAGAAGAAATCGGCGTGAGAAACGATGTCTTTTCGTCATCTCCGCCTATGCCCCGACAGATTGCATCCCCGATGCGATCAAAGATGAATTTTACCACCAGTTAACTGTTCTTATCCAGAAAGTGCATCCCACAGATATTGCAGTACAAGCCGGAGACTCGAACGATCAGGTTGGGCGTCTAGTCACAGAAGAGAGTCGTTTAGGTGGCCGATGGTGACTTCTTGGTCGCAGGACAGATAACGGGGACCGTCTACTGCAACTGTGTGCAGATCACAACCTGTTTCTGGCTAGCACTAACTCTCGGCACAGTCATCGACGATGTGCCACTTGGCGTCCTCCCTCTGCATCTCAAGCCTGTATTCAGATTGATCACATCGCGATCACCCACTGCTGTCGTGGTTGTGTACAAAACTGTCACTTTTCAGAGTACCTATCTGGATTCTGATCAGGCCCTGGTATGTGCCAATCTTACTTTTCAGTGGCCAACGAAGTGACCGTCACCAAAGGATGGATGTCAGTAAATTGATTGCAGCTTCTGTTGCAACTAAGTATCAAATCGAGCTAGGTTCTAGGTTAGTTACCATCCCACCGAAAAGTATAGATGAGTATTGGTGGCAGCTGCATGACGCCATAGAAATGACGAGTATAGCCGTTGGCGGCTTCGCGAAACGTCCCGCTTATAAGCACTGGGTCCCCTCAGGCTTTCTACAACTCATCGAGACCCGTCGGTATACTCCGGATGACCGTGAGTTTGATCACAAACGAAGGATGTTACGTAATGAAATCGGGTAAAGCTTGCGTAAGGACCGAGAAGCCTGGTGGTCGGAGCGTGCTAATAAGCTGGAAGCAGCAGCTGCATCTGGTAATTGCCGGAAGCTCACTCAACTCACCCAAGCCACTGGCAGCAAGAAGTCTGGTGTGAGCGAAGCAATCTGTGAGCATGACGGGATGCCAATAACAAACATCCATCGACGTCTTGGAGGATGAGCAGAGTTCCTCGAATGACAGTTCACAAGGAAATCCAACTCTTCAGACGCTACAAATCACCGGACCCAGACGACCTGCACCCGGCTGTTTTTAAATATGGTGGTGACTTTCTAGTTAAGGAACTGACAATGTTGTTTACAAAGGTCTGGGAACTAGAGAATGTTCCAACGTCATGAAATGAGTCGATAATTGTCCTTATTTTTAAAAAGGGTTCACATCGTCTCTTTAAATTTTATTGGGGGATAGTCTACTTCCAGTTCCTTCAAAACTGTTGGCTTGTCATACTTCGTAAGTTGTTCTAAACCCGAGAAACATTGACTCGCGAGGAGCAGGTTGGTTTCCGTTCTGGTCGAGGATATATTGATCATATCTTCACCCTCCGCCAAATGTTAGAACACCGCCATACTTATCAAAGGCCAACAATCGTAGTGTTTCTTGACATCAGGGCTGCCTTCGATTCGTTGGACAGGACTGTTCTCTGGGATTGTCTATTGAAGAAGAGTGTGCCTGAGAAGTTTATTAACATCCTAAAGGCCCTATATACAAACACCTCAGGCAGAGAGAGGGCATACAACCACCTCTCTCCATTGTTCCATTCAAGCAGTGGGGTTAGACAGGGTTGCCCAATCTCACCATTCCTCTTCAACTTTGCCATCGATGACATTCTGGAAACAGCTCTGATGAATGTAAGTAATGGTGGTGTGGATCTGTTGCCTGGAGAAAGACTTCTCGACCTTGAGTATGCGGACGATATTGTCTTACTGTGCGATAATGCCCAAGGCATGCAATCCGCACTTAATCAGTTGGCAATCAATGTCCGTAGGTATGGTATGTGCTTTGCACCTTCGAAGTGCAAAGTACTTCTACAAGACTGGCAGGAACCTAATCCTGTACTCATCCTGGGTGGTGAGCAGACAGAAGTAGTCGAGAAGTTAGTGTATCTAGGTAGCTGCATAAGGGCTGGTGGCGTGAGCGATGAGATCGATTCACGTATAGTGAAAGCCAGAGCGGCTCATGCTAATCTGAGCCATCTTTGCCACCTTCGTGATGTTAGTCTAACTGTAAAAGGTCGGATCTACAACGTGTCGGTTAGAGCATTCTTGCTCTATGCTTGTGAAACCTGGCCTCTCCAAGTTGAGGATGCTAGACGACTCTCTGTATTCGATCATCGTTGTCTCCGAAGGATTGCTGACACCCAGTGGCAACATCATGTTAGTAATGAAGAGGTTCAGCATCGTGTGTTCGGGCACAGGGATGATAATTCAATTGGTGTCAACATCTTGAAACACCGACTTCGGTGGCTTGGACATATTCTTCAAATGTTGCCCCAGAGAATTTCTTGTTGTGCACGATTTGCAGACGCTGGACTGGTCGGAAAAAGCGGAGAGGTGGTCAGTGTATGACCTGATGTCGTGGTATGAAAGAAAGCTGCACAGGACTGGCCTCTGTTGGTTCTTCATGACTCCCTGGTTGGGGTCCTAGAGATGGTGCAACACAGTGTCTAGAGACGTTATCAGATATGGTTCAGAATAGAAGCCAGTGGCGATCCTGATATAACCTTCTTTTGCTTTCTTCATAAAAGGGGGTTGGAACTTCCTTAACTGAAAGAATCCTTTCAGGTTGTAGCTTTCCGTTCCCCCCATTACTATTATTATTATTATACTACCATACACTAATCTGTGGTCGTTGTTGTTCTCTTTTTCTTTCTTATACGCACCTTACATTCTTTCTTTTGTTACCATTCTCATTGCTTTGTGTGGCGCATATATATCTGGTGCCCACTTGTACCAATAAATGTGTTCAAATAAATAAATAAATAAAATGAAACCAGATATATATGTTCAAAAACAAACCAGTAAATCTTACTTTGCCCTGGTAACATTACACCCTTTTTATTGCACCATTCATTATTTTAAATCTCTCAAGTTTTGATCACATCACTGTCAGTTCTCTTTAATTCATAATTGATTTCAATTCAAGTTATTATTACCACTAATCTGTTTTCACTTGCTTCATTGCTTACTTACTTACTCCTGTTACTTCTAATGCAGCATAGGCCGCAGACCAGCATTCTCCAACCCACTCTGTCCTGGGCCTTCCTTTCTAATTCGATCCAATTCTTGTTCATTTTTCTCATGTCTATCTCAATTTCCCGGCGTAATGGGTTCTTTGGTCTTCCTCTTCTCCATTGGCCTTGAGGACTCCATGTGAGGGCTTGCCTTGTGACGCAGTTGGGTGCTTTCCTCAATGTGTGTCCTATCCACTTCCAGCGCTTCTTCCTGATTTCTTCCTCCACTGGGATCTGGTTTGTTCTCTCCCACAGTACGTTGTTGCTAATAGTGTTCGGCCAACGGATCCGAAGTATTTTGCGTAGACAACTGTTAATAAACACCTGTATCTTCTGGATGATGGCTTTCGTAGTTCTCCAGGTTTTCGCCCCATACAGGAGAACTGTCTTGACATTTGTATTAAAAATTCTGACCTCAGGGTTGGTTGACAGTTGTTTTGAGTTCCAGATGTTCTTCATTTGTGATTATGCTGCTCTTGCTTTGCCGGTCCGTGCCTTCACATCTGCATCAGATCCACCGTGTTCATCAATGATGCTGCCCAGATATGTAAAGGTTTTTACATGATCCAAATCTTCTTCGTCAAGAGTGATTCGACTGTTGCATGCTGTATTGTATCGGAGAATGTCGCTTTTCCCTTTGCGTATGTTGAGACCTACTGCTGCTGAGGCCGCTGTTACACTTGCTTCATCGCACAATCATCTAATGTTTTTAACTCTATGATTTCTAGTCACTAGTTCGGTGTTCTGGAACTTTCCCTCTTTTTATTTGTCTGAGAAAAAATTTTATGACCTTATAAACTATATTATAATCTTCGCTACATCATGATACACATATTCATCTATAATCACCTTCGTATTTATAAGTATGTCAATATCCACAATTTTGATTTGTAAGCAGCTGATGATAGCCTAACGAAATCAAATGAATTCCTATTATTCTGCTCCATTCTTTGGTTTTGCTCTCTTTAAGATAATAAAGGGAATTGTGTAAGAATTTACCAGAATCCTCGAATTATTTAAAATAACTCTCAAGATAAAATATTACAAAAATTCATCAGCTCGGTGTTGGATAGTTTTACTCGTTTAACACAGAATACTAGAAATGCAACTCACGTGTTGCTTCGGAGCGATCGGAGGACATGAACTTCGAATAATCGTCGGACCACATGGATTAACTGCACTGGAATGTTGTGCTACAGTTGCGATAGTTGCCGTCCGTCCTGTAACAGCACTGCCTGGCACAGGTGTGATCTTTAAACCTGTCGGTGTAACTACAGTAGGTCCTCTCTGTCCAGCCATAGTGACGCATGAGTTTGGTATTATTGAACCAACAGCGACAGTAGTAGTAGGTAATCTGATAGGGGTTGGTATCGGAACAGAATTAGCAGGAGCTGGTGTGGTAATGAGGGCCTATGTAATGAATGAAATCGAAAAGCTAGTCAGTTAGTTAATCAAACAGCTAATAATTTTGCTTAAGTTGTTGCTAGCAGCAAGCGAATAAATTCAAAAGCCTTTCCAGAGGCACTAACCTGTGAAATAGCACCAGCTCTTGAAAAGTTCAGAGAACCCGCAGATGCAGTTAATGGAGCTTTAACAATTCCACTTGTATCTACTGGTGAAGATGTCAGGGAATGTGTGGAAGTTGTGGAAGGAGAAACATCATACTTTTGAATTTGTAAAATATAAGCATCTGCAGTAGGTACAGAACCCCATGTTACTTCGAGGCTTTGTGTGCCAGCACGAACTAACTGAACTCTTGTTGGAGCAGCAGGACGGTCAGTTTCCAAAAACCATAAATCTTTGAAGCAAACCTAGAATGATAAAAATTCAACCAGTTAGTATTATATTTTAGAGTACATATTATCACACGGATGTACAATATTCAGGAACTCACCTGATTATTCCATGCTTTTCTATATCCATCACGACCAGACCAAATGTACAAACGACTGTGAACAGCTACAGCACAATGTCCAGCACGGGCTCGAGGTAGAAGACATTCGTCAGCAACTTCCATTGTCAATGGTTCCCAAACCATTGTGTCAAGATTGAGACTAGCCAAAGTATTCGTACACTTCCATTCTTTTTCTTGAGCTGTCATTTTAATTTCTTCCATGACCAAAGGAACCCATCCACCGAAGACAAACATGCTAGTAATGGTTAAATGTCAAGTATCAAAGCAAATTAAAATGAGAACACGGAAGAAAATAAAAGGCTATCGATCAACATTGATATTTAGAAATCTGGTCAGGTTCTAAAGAAATTATATGCGAAACACTACAACGAAAATTTTGTTAAGGAACAGTAAGTAGCTGTAGAAAATGAGTAACGTCGCTCTCTAGGTTACTGCTGAGAAACGCCGAACATAAAACACTTCACATTTAAAACATAAAATGTAAATAACTGATGTCGTGGGTGCTTAAACAGATCCAATAGTTTTGGTCAGTAAGGGCAAGTGATTTAGAACTATGAAATGAAATTAAGTACGTTCAAAATAATAACCAAGAATTTTCCCTTCGGGTTGCGAATATATTTGATTCACACGAACTAAAAAACCTAACACCAAATGGACCCAACCGCAGCTGCTACCTTGACGCGGTGGTCGGGCTTGCCTATCGTGATGACCCAACCGAGCTATATTGGCTGGAACATATGTTCCTGTAGGTTCTACCATGACAGGCAGGTCGAGTGGAGAACGGTAAGACTAAAAGCAGCAACTCAAGGTCTGAGGGCGAAGTCGTACTGCTGACTGTAGAAGGGTGTGACAGCAGCAAGGTGTTTCTCTTGGACAACCAGCATCTACAGCGATGCTGCCTTCTTACAAGGAGGGAAGGGGTTAGAAAAGGTCGACCCTAAAAATGTCACACCTCACCTTACCTCACGGATTTCTGTCTCCGGCGGTAAGGCCCTTTGAAGAACGGAGCTAACACGTCAAAAACCTCCCACAAAAAAGCCGTGCGCGACCGGCCTCAAGCAGTTGTCCCTTAAGTTTTGCGGTCACGCTCCCAAGTCTTTAAGACCAACACTAATCCAATTTCATTTTCAGGTTCCTCAAGAAATACCCTTCCATGGTCTGGGCAGCCAGGAAGTGACACCAGCCCTTATGCCCGTAACAGCACACGATGCCAAGTTGGTCACATTCAAATCCTTCCTACACCTCTAAATACTACTCTTATCTCCCCGAATAACCCTTCTCACGTCCTTTTTTCACCTCGCACCGCCAGGGTAAACGATTCGAGTACGCGGAACGTTATTCTTGGTTTCCTGAAACCACGCTCTAAACTACATGTAGGAGCTTTTAACGTCCGAACATTATGCCAAACAGGACAACAGGCTTCCTTAGCTAAGACTTTAAAATCTTGAGCCATCGATGTGTGCTGCGTCTCCGAAACGCGCATATAGGACCCGAGTAGGGTCATTCATTTGACACCACCATGTCAAAACAAAGAACCAACTCGATTCACACGTTGTGTATCTGGAAGCCCAGATGCTGCTTCACGTGGACTGGCCGGCGTAGGTATAGCATTGAGTCCTGGGGCAGAACAGTCGTTTGTGCGCTGTCCGACTAAACGGAACAATAAGGACTCTGAAAGATAGGGACACTTCTCGTTGCCCCTTCGTCGTCTTTGCCTATTCTTCCACTGACTGCAACTCAGATGATGTAAGAGATGAGTTTTACAGAAAGCTTTCGGACCTTCTCCGAAAAGCTAAGCACTCGGGTGTAGTAATAGTGGCTGGTGACTTTATTGCTCAAGTAGGTAAACTAAGAGATAGGGAAAGACACCTAGGTGGATCTTATGGTGTCGCGGCTCAAAGAACAGATAATGGCGACCGTCTGTTGCAGCTATGCTCAGATAACCGCCTGTTCCTTGCAAATACTAACTTTAAGCATAAGGAAAAACATCTCTTAGCATGGCGACCCCCTACTTCGTCCCAACGATGGACCCAAATAGATCACATCACTATCAGCCACCGATTGAGGGGCTCGATAGAAGACTGTCGCTCATTCTGGAGCACATGCTTAGATTCAGATCATGCTCTAGTACGAGCGCGTATTTGCCTGCGTCTTACTGGACGTAAGAAAGACGCTGCAAGGAAACCTCTTAGGGTCCTGTTTAATAATATTCAGTGATTGAAAATTTCAGAATTTCACCAAACTAAGCAGTTGTCACTGAAGGAAGACACTTACTGAATTAATCAATCAATAGGGCCCTACTTAATGATTGTCAAGCTAAGAGTATATTTCAGGAACAACTTGGAAAACAGTTAGGCAGCCATGTAGGTGATGCCCACCCCGATGCAGCATGGAATGATATCCGAAAAGCTGTGGAAACAGCAGTGATATCTGCCAGTACGGTAAACCGTAAGGTTAGGGAGCAACACTGGATCTCAGCAGCACCTACCGCACTGATAGATGCTCGAAAACTCATTCCATCTGGCTTTGAACATAACGAAGAGCGGAGTCAGCTTAAGCGCAAGCTGACAAGAAGCCTACGCAATGATTGTGAACAGTAGTGGGTAGCGAAAGCAAGAGAGATGGAAAAGGCAGCGGCAATAGGTAATAGCAGACAATTGTTCAGACTTGTTAAGGAAACCGGTATTAGGTATCCGACTGTTAGCGAGACAATCTCAGAGAAAGATGGACATATTATACATTCTCAATCCAGGAGATTGGATCGATGGGCAGAATACTTTAGGGATCAGTTCAACTGGCCTTCAGCCACACTTCGGTTTCCCACGATCTCCAGTCAACCTGAATGGCAAGTTAATTTAGGTCCTCCGACTCTTTACGAAGTTGAAAAAGCTATAGGAAATCTGAAGCGAGGGAGAGCAGCAGGCCCTGACAGGTTTACTCCTGAGATTTTTAAGGATGGTGGTCCAGTATTAGCAGTGAGATTAACCGAGGTCTTAGGTAGAATTTGGGAATTGGACGTAATCCCATCTGACTGGTCTCAATCACTGATTGTGCCAGTCTATAAGAAAGGACAAAAGTCCTCTTGTGACAATCATAGAGGAATCAGTTTGACTACTATAGTGTCTAAAATATCAGCTTCAATAATACTTCGACGCCTAATTAAAGCTCGTGAAGAGCAGACTAGAGAAAACCAGGCTGGTTTTCAACCTGGACGTGGTTGTATAGACCAGATATTCACACTACATCAGGTCCTAGAACATAGACACACATTCAGACGCCCCAAAATAGTAGTATTTCTTGACCTTAAAGCAGCATTCGACTCTGTTGATCGTGAGGTTCTGTGGCAGTGTTTGTCATTGAAAGGAGTACCAAAGAAGTACATTAACTTTGTAAAGGCTTTCTACTCGGACACAACTAGTCGAGTGAGAGCTTATGGCGAACTGTCATCAGAATTGATTATCTCAAGTGGTGTTCGTCAGGGCTACCCACTCTCTCCATTCTTGTTTAACTTTGTCATTGACGTACTTTTAGAGATGACACTTTCCTCATCTAAATTTCCGTGGGTTGAACTTCTACCGAGAGATTCACTTTTTGACTTAGAATATGCCGATGATATAGTTCTGTTTGGTGAAAGAGCTGACAAAATGCAGTCTTCTGACCACACTAAGCAACAATGCAAGCATGTTCAAGATGCGATACTCTCCCTCGAAATGTAAAATGTTGCTTCATGTTTGGGTTGTATCGACACCAGAAATAATTATAGGGAGTGAAGTAGTTGAGCGTGTCGACCGCTTTACTTATCTTGGAAGTCTCATCAGCCCTTGTGGTCTGCTGTGTGACGAAATCTCAACAAAGATATATTAGGCTCGACTAGCTTTTGCCAACTTTCGTCATTCATGGCGTAGGCGAGATATCCGTCTATCAACCAAAGGACGGGTTTACTGCGCAGCAGTTCGTTCTGTCCTACTTTATTGCAGTGAAACGTGGCCGGTAACAGTAGAGGATATTCGTAGGTTTCTAGTATTCGATCAGGTGTCTTCGAAGCATTGCTCGTATATCCTGGGACCATCGAGTAATTAATGCAGTTGTTAGGAAACGGATACTAGGTAAGGTTGACAAATCAATTGATGAAGTAGTGAAACTTCAACAGTTGAGATGACTGGGACACGTGTTACGTATGCCCAACCACCGACTGCCCCGACGAGCGATGTTTTGTGGTGTAGGAGTAGGTTGGAAGAAAGCTAGGGGCAGTCAGACCAAAACATCGCACAAATCCATGAAGTCACTGACAAGTGAACTGAGCCATGTTGGTAGGTGTAGACTACCTGATTGAGATCCGCGAGATGATAGCAACCGATGGATAGAGACCTTGAATGACGTGGCCCCAAATCGATTGCGATTAGGCAGGTGCATCCACTCTTTGTGTTCTCCCAAATTCTAATCTGAATTCATGTTCCTTTTTTCGTCTTTCCAAATTTATTTCGCTGGATTATACTCCTTGGAAAGCATCTTCAAACCCTAATCTTTCCGATTGCTGTTTATACTCTTACTACCTCTAACACTACGGGATTTAAATCGACAACTGCATCTCTGTGTTAATGTAGTGTGGCACCTCGAACTGATGTACGTACGTACGAAGTTCTGCGTTGTTACTGACTGACTAACTGAATACCAAATGGATCACTGTCATAGCCTATCTGTCAAAAGACGATAAAGACACAAATTAATTTTTCAAACCTCATGTGACCAACTCATTTTGGAGACCGGACACTGGATTAGTTTTCCTACGAAGCTGTCAAAATCATTTAATTTTACCTGTATTTATCACGTTGAAAGTATAGTCCTTTAACCACTAGACCTGAAAAAATGAGTCAATCAGAAATAGCCAAATGATAAGGCTACTACGTGTCAATCAGCAATCACCTAAAGCAAAAGTACATGTCACTGATCAGAAAATGGATTCATCTTTTGAGGTATATACATAATTTTACAAATAACGTCTCTATACTCCCCGCCCTATTCCTGCCGAACTATCCGTCCAAATATTGACCAATACTCGCATATATTTTGTTTGTTAATTAGATAAAAACTCAATTTATGGGAAAATCGTGAGTCTTAAAGCAAGGCTAATGACCACCCTAAAATAAGTGCTGATTACCTTTCCTAACCTGAATACACAATAAACAAATGATAACATAAGCTAAATAGTGCCTTAAGGTATATTAAATCGTTTACGATAGATAACAGGACGTAGGATAAAACCTACCGCAACAATAAAAGGATTTTTCGTAACACTTACCGGTTTCCGATTACAGTTGCACTGTGAAGACTGCGTGGAGCCGGTAGATCTCCACTAACGATAGGTTTGATCCATGTCATGGTATCAATTTCTAATTGCCAAAGATCCCCAAGTCGGTTACCGGACATGCCACCATATACCAAAAGACGCCATTTCTTTATCATTCCATCAAGGACCTGATAAGCTACTGCACTGTGAGATTCTCTAGGTGTAGGTGGCTGACCATATGTGTTTGGAATATCCCAACACATAGTACTTGAATTGGGTTTTAATTCCAGAGTGTACAGATCGTTTAAGTATCTAATTACAAAAATATTTTACAAAGTAAAGAGTACAGACAACTTGAGATAAAACAAGAACATACTTTAATAGCTAGAATGAATATAAAGCCGACTAATAGATGCATGGTGATTCAATGCGATCGGAAGATAAATCCCCATGAGAGGGAATTACTGACGGAATCCGACATGACAGTTGCCTATAAATTATAGTTTCGCCGGAAAATGTTTTATTGACCAATAACTATTATTTTAGGAAACTACTGTAGACTGAATAACGAACCTTATTAGCAAGATTTACCATGAAATTTAATAAAAGGAAACGAATTTTTCCGCGTGTTAAGATATTAGATTTCTGTTGAATTCATCATACCAGAAGTTTAAGATCATATATATCGCTTTTAATGCTACTAAGGTTTGTGAAATAATTTTCATGCATATTTTTTGTTGGTGTGTATCTGTGATTGACAAACACCGTGTTTCTTTTTTCCTGAGTTGGATTTTCTAGCTGTCTGAACTTTTCTTGTTTTATCCGCATCGTGCCGATCATAATGGCCATTCAAAGTTATCGATGCGGTTGACCATTATGCATATTCCTTGTTGAAAATGGTATGCAATATGACGGATATAAGAGACGATTTCACAAATTATTACCCGCCGTGCATGAAAATTGCTGTAGACCGACCTCACCGTGATTATTTAAGGAATGATCCGTTACTAAGACAATTGTTAGGTGAAGCCTTAGACCTCACACTGGCGAGGGACAATATACGCTAAGTTTGACATCAGATGAGAAAGAAACAAGTGCAGTTGATAGTGTCGTTAACTCAACTGGTAATCTTCGTCGACAGGCTGACTCCAATTGTCGATACACCCAAAAAGATAACCCCCGTCCAAACCATCGTTACGCGTAACCGAAATAAGTCCCGCATTGTCGGGACAAAGAAAATACCAAATGCCCTGGTACAACCGAGAAAGGTTAGATTCAGTTCTACCTCTCGAAATGATCTGGTCACACGTACACATCCACTGCGAGGAGAGTCCTACACAGTGCTTATTCGCGGCGGATGTTGTTGACAAAATTTGGAGGGGGCCTGTAAAACGACCCTGCTAAAAGGCATACACACATTCTGGAGTTAGTTGGACCTGCTATCAGAAATGTACTGTCGGAAGGTAGTACATATTAATAAAGTAATGAGGCTCGATAAATGGATTGGAGGCGAGACATAACCAAGAGGAAACTAGAAATTAGAACTCGGAAGTTACGAGAAAAATATGTCCCTTCCTCGCACTCAATTACCTAGGAACTGGAAGGATGATTTGGTTAGCCCAATATTAAAGTATGGAGAGATCATGTTTAACCGCTGACCTATCAATCTAACCAGCATAGTAGTTAGGTTACATGAGAAAAACAATGAGGGTCAAGTTACGAAGTCACACAGAATCATATAATTCGATGACTCTTGAGCAACACAGATCTCTTAAGCATTCGTGCATAACTATTTGCTAGAGAGAATCAGACAGCAACCTAAGATAACGATTTTTCCATTGATGTGTTCATAGATCTTAAAAAAGCTTTGGAATAACAGGTACTGTGCAAGAGTAGATAAGAAAATATCTCTGTGGTTGAATACATGTGAGAGTAGATGAAAAACGATCTGAACGGAAGCTGATCAAAAGACATGTACTCCAAAGCGCCACCTTGTGTCGATTTTTTTCTATAAGTCAATGAATTATCGAAACTCCTTATGTCGCTGACAGTTGTTTACAGGTGTCGATAACTAGAGAGAAGTAGCGAAGCTGAGCACCTTGATCTTGATCAGTTACAAGATACAAGGGATATCCCCTAAACTTGAGTTTAATTTAGAAATATGCCGGTGACCTAGTACATAATGTAACAGTAGTTTTCCTTTAAGATTAGATGACCAGTCTAAAAATGTTACTGGACACTAATTTACACAACCACAACCACTAAACAACGCATGACCAGTTAAGCAGAAAAACAGGAGTGATTACCTTGGTATATTGTTTTTAGGGTCATCGCTGTCATTTGTTATCCCACCAAATAAAAATGCTCGCTGACCAACAAGAGTAAAACTATGCCCTACCAAAAACAATCAGAATAAAAGAGGTCATACCGATCCTTGGACATGGACAGGGGCCATTTCTAGCAGGCTTAGGCTTTAGACGTTTCCATTCCCAACGAGAGGCTTGTAGTTCGTACAAGTCGCCAGAATATTTGCCATACTCAAGCATGCCACCAAACATGAGCACACGAGTGTTTTCTGCCAGCATTCCGAAAGCTGCACATCCTGGAGGAATATCTCCATGTACAGCGGGAAGAAACCATTGGCAGGTTGCTAAAGCAAATGGGCGAAAATAACACTTACTCGTATTGAAAACGTGAAGTTCGTCCACTATTCCCTCATTCCCACCACCGAAAACCACGATCAAGTCCTTGATAGCCACAGCTTTGTGTCCGTGTCTTGATCTGGGGACATTCCCAGTGGCCGCCGAAACTTTCCTCCACCTAACAATAGGACCTACACCAGCCATCTTGGAAAGCGTAACACCCGCGGGATCATGAAAAGACGTTTCAATAATCATTTGTCGTGAAAATTTAGCAGTCGAACTCAAGGAATTATAATTAAAATCTCTCTGTTATTCTTCCTTGAACTCATAAAATAAGAAAATGGTGCAAATCAGAAAAACAGTAGGAAACTGATAAACACCACAGACATTTTCATTGGAGGACGTTGCACTGACACTTCAAAACGATTTTGTCACAGAAGATCACATATTTCCGGTCAAAAAGTCCAAGCTTATGGGAATCAAGTTACCTTAGACCGACTGGCTTATATCATATCGGAATAAACCGACCAGTTGTATTCGCGCGCTATTCAAAAAAGTTAGTGGTATTTTTCCTCTCAGTATATTTTATAGTGTTGATTGTTAAAAAACACATCAAGACTACTCTTTTGCTATAATTGAATTCATTTCAGTTAAAGCATTCCACAAATGTACCTCTTTTTTCCAGATAAGTTTACCATCTGTGCTTCACGAGTACACATGCGAAAAACTTGGGGCACTGGTATATGTTCTTTGTTGTTGCATATGTTTCTATGCCAATCATTGGCATAGACCTCCAACTACACCACAATCTACTCATCGATACTCGCAAACGAAGGCTAGTAGACGGAAACACTAAACTATCTGTTTGCGTGACTGCTTTTTCTGGTTGGCGATTATCTCCTATCACAGTCAGGCACACGATAGACCCATTCTATCAACCTCTACTAGATGAGTATTCTCGAATATACCATCCTTAACCGTGACCAGCACCGTTACACGTCACATCACGACTACAGGACCACCTGTATTCTCGAAAGCGCGCCAACTGGCCCCCGTATAGCTAAGGTTGGCCAGAAACGAATTCGACCACATGATAGACTTAGGAATCAAATAGTCCATGGCCATCTTCATTGCTCATGGTCCCTAAAAAACATAGCAACGATTGGCATCCAACTGGTGACTATCGGCGACTAAATGCAAAAAACATTCCCGATCGTTACCCGTTGCCTCACATTCACGATTTGACAGCTACCTTGAAAGGTACAACTATCTTTTCGAAAATCGACTTGGTTAAAGCGTATAACCAAATCTCTATGGCTACTGACGATATGCCGAAAACCGCTATCATAACTCCATTTGGACTCTACGAATTTTTGCGAATGCATCCAGCATCTGGATCATGTTTTCGAACAACTACAAAAACCTGGCATTACTGTAAAGATTCAGAAATGGCGAATTGGAACTGACTCCTGGTAGACCAACACTCGTCCTGCTAGGTATTCACGATGCACTGAAAGCTGAAATTGGATAAACTGCATCTCAACTCGTTTATGGAACGACACTTCGACTTCCAGGATTCGTGGATCTCTCATCTTCTTCAATGAACATGGATCTGACCCCCTTCACGATAGGCTTACAAACGCAATACGTCCAATTAAACCTATTTTCTTCCGACCGCAATCGACTGATGCTTTCGTTCAACCTGACTTACTATATAGTACACACGTTTTCGTCCGTCGAGACTCACATCGATGACCTTTCAAATCAGCATATGAAGGATCCTTCAAAGTTCTTCAACACGAATCCATGTACCATATAGTCGATAAGAATGGAACCAACGATAGCATCAGCATCGATCGCCTCAAAGCAGCTTATTTAGAAGGAAATCCTATTCATGTCGATTTTCCTTCCGTACAATCGAACGACATGGCTCCTACATTTATAATACCTCATTCGACAGCCAACGCGCACGATGATAGTTCGGCAGTATCAGAAAATAAACTTAAAACAACGCGTTCTGGAAGAAGAGCAAGATTTCCAGAGCATTTGAACGACTATTGCACGTAAGATACCTGTTGACATTTTATATCATCTCGATTTTTCTTTGTACTGCGTGTAATATAAAGAAAAAATTTTTAACATGCCTATATATTTATATTTTCATTCCCAAAAAAAAAAACAAAAACCCATATTATAAAAATCCTTTTCTACGCTATTACGTGTGTTTGAGTTTATTTTTCTTTTTTCGCCCGCTTTGTGTTTTTACGCGCGTACAAGTGTATTACTACATGCACGTACATGTTTTCCTCTTCCAGAACAGCTGAAGAAGACAACTAAAAAAACGAAATTTACAAGGAACCGAGAATTTCATTGTACTTTTGTTTGCTATATTGTACTTCATCGTCCTTTATAGTAGGAAAAGACGACCAGACGCTGCTAAGCATAGCAAGCTATCAGAAGGGGTACGATTCATATTAGGTGTTACTGTTTAAAGTGTTGCCAAACTACAAATACCCGTGGCATCTTCAATGTGCACCGGACTCACACCGACTACATATAAAAGTGCTACGAGTCCTCATTACGTTGGTTGTGCGAAGCAGTTTACTCTACAAAGTCTCTGCTGATTCGTAAAGCTATTGAAGCAGAGTCATCTATAACGTCATTCGATTGCAAACTGTTGGAAACCTGAATTCACTAGCTTTATTCCAACACATTGGATATTACACCACATATGACTTAAGAAGCTCCTCGTCTCTCTTAAACCTACTTTTCACAGATGGTGATGACGTCGGTCAAATTACTTTCCTACCACCTCTAGATAGAAGCGACCATGTAGTCATCTTATTCAAATTCAGAGCCGAGCTGGACTGTCAAATATGCTAACTCCGTTTTTCATATACCTAGGTACACATACTGAAGCATCGTTGATCTACCGTTTCTGGGAACAGAAGCTCCTTAAGCGAGGCTTACAGATCATTCATACGACAAATTCATATATTTTTGAAGCGAATATTTTGATGTATTTGTTGATGGAATATGAGACTTCATTTAGTTGTTATGGATCGCCCAATTCATGAGTTGAAAGCCTAACTCTTTGACGAATTACAGAACAAGTTTTTTTGGTCAGTTCTTGTTACAGTACCATGTTTTGTGGAGAGAACTTCAGTTCCTAATGAAAAGTTCGGATAAACATATTTTGAACCATCAATGATTTCCGTAATTTCGTAGGTTCACTTTTTTTGGAGGACAAAAAAGTAGTATCCTTTTCGTTTCAGGTAGCTTTTCTCAATGTTTGTCCAATATTGATTCTATAGGCAACCCTGGGAGTTTGGATATATTTTGTTCCGTTTGCTAGGTAGCTGTAATTTATTTGTGAGTGATCATGATTTGGCTACAATTAATTATCAGTCATCTAACATGAAAAATCACTTGTATGTTTCAATCATTAAGCTATATAAATTCGTACTAGTCACTGGAAACCATGGAGCAGCAGAGCCAGCGAAATGTGACTGGGCCCTACCCAAGTCATTTGACAGATGGGTCACAAAATTTCGAACAGCTTATTCATCTTTGTCAAGCTGAATGACGATCAATCAATCGCACTCCGTGAACGGGCCCATGCGGTCTTGATTGTGTGGATGTTCATTCCTCTATATATAACCCCAATAAGTAGTGTCCCACTAGCTGAGTATTTAAGCAGGCTAAATCTCCTAGTAGTATCATTAAGTTGCTCGAGATTATTCAAAAGCCCGAACATCAGTTGTAGATATAGTCTATTGGTAATGACTGGTAAAAATCCGCAAGCGGGTAGATGGCAAGTACATGAGGAGTCTATTGAGAGTGTGTGTTAAAAATTAATATATTTTTATGTGCTAATCGACTGTGGACAAATCACTGATTTTCTATGTCTTACAACCAATGAGAGAATAGATAATGGTTGATGTTCACGCGCTCAGTCAGAATCACACATAATTTTACATAGTGGATAAATGTCTAAGTTACAGTGAGCGGACAAATAATACGAGAGTTGAATGAGCTCACTACAGTTGCACTCTGATTCTTTTACTTTCTCCTGATAACATTTGTGTAATAACTTCGTTTGTTTTACGGCAGTCGAAGTAGCCGTAGTAATCCACTTAGATACTAACCGTGAGTTGTGACTTCGACGTTAGCTGGTTGGTCACGCCATTCACATATAACTCAAGTAGACACCAAATCATTCAAAACAGATCATCTACGTTGGTGATCTACGGATCGACCACTGTAAAGTTCTCATCGCTTTTCGTCAAAAGCATTGACTTTTTTGACAAAAGGACAGATTAACAGCTTCAAGGAAGCTTTACTTTACGGATACTTATACATGTATACATTCCGGGGGGACAATACAAGTATGTATACTATCTTTCGTGTTTATGTGCTTTATTCAAGTTTGTATCTGAGGACTTCAAGAACTACTCTATAAACCACTGACTTAAACCACCCAATCTCCACTAAGGTAACTTAATAAAGCCCTAATATCGGTAACTTCTAGTGTTGAGGGATAGGTGAGTTCAAGTAACATCTTACGAAATAATTTATTCGGGCGTACAGTTAATTCATTCCGACCATTTTGTATGCTAAAGGAAAATCCATTCTGTTTGAACTTACGATCACTATCTCTGCTGATCGATGCTCACCAAAGTTGAGCATAATTTACACATTCAATCACCAAATCAACCTGTTTTGGTTATTTTCACATTGAATAAATGTTAGACAAAGTTAATCCAGTTTAACGTCATCTTGAATAAAAGCCACATTGAGTTACTATAGAATCAGAGCAAATTAAAATAGCTTTGAAACAATAGGTGCTTGAGGTATTATCTCTTATTGTTACTACCAACGACCTCAAGCTTTAAGTCTTATTAGAATCCACTCATATAGTAGGCATAACTTGTCTTTAAGAAAACTTTTCCACTGTGGTTAGCTTCGATTAATTTGCTGAAAGGTGGGGAAGCACATGGCTAGAAGTGAACTGAACCTTTCGTATTAACATATACAGACGTCCGTTGTTCAGTAGTGATAGTTTTTTGGTTGTTGAGTAGATATGTCTGATGAGAGATTTCATGCACATAGGTCCCTTCAACATCGTAAAGAAAACAAAAACAAAGATTTTAGCAGGTATCATGAGTTCATTTATATCGTTTGGTTATCTTCTGTTGCTTACA